GAAACATTTTCCTTGTGCAGACGATAAACTTTCAGACGCAAAATCCTTTGTTGAGCAGATCCTACACAGTTCTTAAGTATTCAAAACAATACTTTTATTGGACCAAAAAGAGTCCTCTTGCGAAAACGTTTTTAAATTCTCTTCGTTCACACACACATATTCAACCCCCCCTTCTATGTGTTTTCATCTAACTTCATTTCTCTAGTTAAATACCAACTTGACCTTAGAGAAAAAAGTATATAAGGTCTCTATTTTGAATAAATCCTTATAAAATATTCCTTAGCTTTATAAATTGTGTCTTCAGATTTGGTGAAGGTGAAGGGAAAAGGGTAGGGGATAGCTACTAGTAAGGATGTGTTGATTTTGTTTGACTATGAAGCTACCCATTCATTTATTTCCTATACTTGTGCTGAAAGGTTGGGTTTGCCTATGTGTGATTTGTGGTTGGATTTGCTTATGTCTACTCCTATTTGTGCTTCTACGATTGCTTCTAAGATGTGTGTTGGTTGTTCGTTGGAGATACATGATAGGAAGTATAAAGCGAATTTAATTTGTTTTCCTTTGGTTGATATTGACATAATTTTAGGGATAGGTTGGTTAACTTCCAATCATATCCTTATAAATTGTGCTAATAGAAAGTTGGTGTTTCCTCAGGTAAAGGATCAAGTGTTGGTTTTAGTTAGTCCTTGGAAAGTAGGTTTCCATCACTGTGCAGTTGTGTTGAATATACGATGTGTTGTTGAGATGTATGTTAATTAAAAAGTTGCATGAGTAGTGATGATTGAATGGTAAGATGCGAAGTTATGTGTTGACTTGTTGTTATATTGAATCTATAAAGAGTTCCTTGTTGTTGAGTTGTGTTTACCACTTAGAACTAAAGAAGAGGCTTCCAAAAGTTGCATATCTCATTGTGTTGTAGTGCTTCAAGAGCCCAATTTGTTGAAAACCTTTCTTAGGAAGTTGACCCTTCAAATGGATACTATGTTGTTTCTCCTCTAGGACTTTGTTGATACCATGTGTGGGCAAGGTCAAAGCACATATGTATGAAGCGATCACAGTATAGGAGTCAAGTCGAGCTATACTAATCATAAGTGACCAATCAAGTAAAGTACGAAGTTGAGAACCGAGTTCGTAACCGAGCATTGGAGGGGCATAGTATTTGGAGGGTATTCGATGGGCTAATCTCATAAGAGTCTTAGTTAAGCTAGTTAATGTTATGAAAGGTCCATACCCACTCGTTCTACCTTGATAGTACTACTAGACTTCCTTGTTTAAGTGATGACATCTAAGAAACCAAGTTGCTATGTTGTGGATTTATATCTAATTTGTTGTTGATCTAGCAAGCTTAAAAAGATTACCCTATGTTGTTGGTTCGGTAGGGTCAATCCACTTAAACTACTCACCTTATGTAGTAGGAGATCTCCTAGTTGAAATGCATGACAACATATGTAGTTGTTATGTTGAGCATATGATGTGTTGATTTGATTGTGTTGTTCATATGTTGTATTGATATGTGATGAATGTATTGATGTGTTGAAATTAAGGTGTTGTGTTGATATGTGTTGTATAATGTGATGCCTTATGTTGTGCTGTTAGAGATGAGATGATTATGTGACTTTCTTAAGTTGTGTGTCTATATATATATATGTTGTTTATTTTTACTCTAGTTCACCCTTGTGTGTTTCCATGTGATTTGGACTGTAATGATCATACGTGGTATGGGAGTAAGATAAGGATAGGTTTGCAGTGTTGGAGTGGGGCCATGTAGTGGCATTGGAGCTGGATGTTTTGTTGAATACCTGATGAGGGTAGATTTGTATATATAATAGTAGTTTCTTGACCGATAACTTATGATGTATAGTTTACATTTACCGAATTACTATATTTATATTGTACATATTTATGTAGTTATTGTTTACCCTTATATGTATGCAATATAATACATGTTTCTCATATTTGTAAGTCTATAATCTTAAGTTAGATGTTTCCCGCTACTGGTAGCTATGTCGTATAGTGTAGAGACTAAGGCAAGTTGTTACAAACGTAGTCTTAATGGTTGAGATGAATAAATATAAAAATACTCAATGCTCCTGTTCCTACTCCATCTAACTAGCATTACTACTTCACTAGGAGAAAGTGCAGATTTTTTATGCATACTATTTAACTCCTCCTTTTAGTGTTTTATTTTTTTCTCCACACTTACCTCCGATCACCTAGAATAGAGGAAGGAGAAGAAGGGTGAGATCATCTGGGGAACTCCGCACAACAACTCCAAGGTTTCTAATTCTCAACTCTAGAAGCTTTGAATCTCTACCTAACTACTCAACTAACTTTGGAGAAGGGTCATATATTCTAAAACACTTTTGTGGACTTAAAAGAATGAGAAAATCTATCTAACTCTAGAGTTTCTCTCTCTAACTTTTCCATAGGCTTCTTAAGAAATGAATTTATAAAGTTCAAGTCTTAAGGAAAACCTTATATACTTTTCCCTAGACTTGATCAACGTTGGCCTTGACTCAAAACAACTCTTAACCAACTATACTCCTAAGAATTCCTTAATTCTTAGAGTTTTATAATAATTAAACAACTAATCACATAAATAATTAAATTAATAAAATCTATAATATCAACACAATTTCATAGTATTACATTGCTCATTTGTAACTACTATATATAGTATCAATTAACAATATCCTTTATATTTTTTTATTATGAAAATAAATTTAATTTTTTTAATGTATTTCTTTTCTAATAAATTAGGACAATTTACCTTGATGCTTGGATAGTCCGACATAGATTAGGTTGAGTCAAAAAATGATAATCCAAAAAGAATATAAGTTATAACAATTTAACCTAAAATAACATTTGACTCATACAAGTTAGGTTGGATCAGGCCAGTCAAACTTTTTTGATACCTCTACCAATCACCATTGTCCTTTTCTAATATGCATGTATAAAAAAGCTCATTAATTAAAAAAATTAGTAAGTCGTTTATTTTATTAAAACTTTTAAAATATTTGATAATATTAATGTAGCTAGGAATGAAACATTAAACATGAGATTATCATCGTATGCGTGAAGTGTGGAATGGAGGATAACTACTTTTTTTTTTTTTAAAGAAAAACACATTTGAACGAATTTTCAAGCTACCTTTTCATATAAGATTGTGGTTTGCTGACCGGCAAGCATTTAGATTGGATTGGATTAAAATTAAAAAATCTAGCATTAATTATTTTCGGATCTAAAGAGACCTTGTGTATAATGTATTTGTTGACACCGTTATGTTAGTAGGACTGTGAATTGCCAAGATGATTTCATATCGGTGGAAAGTTAAAATAATATTTATGGAGTTTTAGGTTGAATGTAAAAAAAAAAAAAAAAGCACTCAAATTAATTAACAATTATACAAATAATATATTAAAGTTAAATTACATTTTTAATTAGTCTATTATCTTTAATTTGTAGTGTTGGTTCTTTTATTTTTAATTATATAATTTTAATCTTTTAATTTTTTATATTATATAATTTTGATATTTTAATTAATTAAAACAATTAATTATTAATAATATTTTATTAATATTGACATATCTTAATGACGAGTCACTTTAATGGATAAGATAACCCTTAAATAATGATGTGAATAAGTGATTTGACAATAACGTAATAAAAAAAAATATAGAATTTTTAAGAATGATAAAAAATAAAAAAAAAGGTGACGTTATGAAATAAAACATATGTCCTTCACTTTAAATTTTATCACTTAAAGTTATCGATACACCACTTAACAATTTTTAGTATATTTGGAATACTAAATTATACATAATATTACTACTTGAGTTAATTTCCTTTTCAAATTTTTTTATCTAATGTTAATTCAATTAAAAATTAATATTTTTTTAGTAAAATAATTTTATAATTTATTATTTAATATTTAATATAATTTTTATACAATAAATAAACATACAGTATAAAATAAATATTATAATATTAGTATATATTATTTGATATATTAATTTATTTTACATTGTATAATTATATTTATTGGATAAATTGAATAATAAATTATATAATTCATTTACCACATATTTTGTTATTTTATTAAACAAATTTATTATATTGAATAGTAAAATTTTTATTTATTAGATGAAAAATATAAGATAAATAAAATAATATTAGTATATATTATGTAATATATTTTTCATAAAATAAATTATATAAATTTTATAAATTAAAACAAATAATATAACATTAGTAGGGTATTAAAAAAATAGAAAAACAGTTAAAAATAACTAAAAAATAATAATTATATATTTATATTTACTGTATAAGAAATATATTAAATAATAAATTATATAATTAATGTATAAATTTTTATTTATTTTAAATTATTAAATTAAATTTATAAATATATGTGATACATAAAATTTGAAATAAATAAGAGGTTAGGAAAATCTCTTAAAATCTTTTGGTTAGAGAGAAGTCCCTAAAATTATTTTTACTCTTAAAGGAAGATATTCGTATTTAATATATATAAGTTGATAAAAAAAATTTATAAAAAAAATTTCTTAAATAAAAAATTTATAAAAATACTCTCACGCTATTTTTCAATAGTTTTAATATATAAACGTAAATATATAAATTAGATTTTATATATATATTAATAATTTCTAGTGTTACAAAAATATTTTTAATTATTAATAATTTATTTTAAAATTATAAAAAAATTTAATTTATAAATAAATATGCTAAATAAATTTTGGAAAAAAATAAAAATTAGAAGAATATCTAAAAATCTCTTGTTTGAGAGAAATCCTTAAAAATATATTCTCTCTAAAATAAAAAAATAATAATAAAAAATAAAAAATTAAAAAAAGCTAGAAATAATATTCCAAATATTTATATTAGTGACACTATGGCTTGCATTTCAGATCAATTCATCGTCAAATTAAATGTAAACTAACTAGGAACGTAGATATAAAATTAAAAGCAACCCCAATGTTAAATGGATGTAAATATATAAATTTATTTATTAACCCTACATTATTGGTAGAGTTGCTGAAGTAGATTTATAGAAACATTAAGCACACACCTTCATAACTATAGATGATTCACTATGTTCTTTACAGAGAGATAGGTACCCATTATTCCAATGAAAGTACCTATGAGAAGAATTACAATTATAATGATCAACTCCGATCCAAGTTGCCGAACAGATTTGTTTATCTGTAGGTAACAAAGGCAAGGGAATAATAATGACATTGTTACACTAAAAAATGCACCAATTAGTTCCATAATATAACCAAAAAACGGCATGAATAGAGCCATAACCACAGTGCTGACCACGATGGTTGTTCTAACGAGGATGGCAATGGACTTTCTCTTGCACAGAAGCCATCTGTCCTCGATAGCATTTGCTATTGGGGTGATTAGAACAGCATACTTAGTGAAAGGATTAATTAATGTGGTATAAATAGCTATTTTAGTACTTAATTTCTTTGATGGCAGATTTAAGGTTATTTGAGACATCAAATAATCTCCGAACATTGTGTAACCTAAAACAGCAATGACTCCATAGATCATAGTAGTTGTCACAAAGCAAACCACCAAAACCTGCAATTGGCAAACAATATGAGTGTCATTATTTCGAAAAAAATGATGATAGTAAGAGAAACCTTTTTACTATGAAGATAAATAATAAGAAAGTTTCATCACTTTTTTCATTACTATAATTTTTCTTATTACATGCGACTTTTCATGCAAATTTTGTATTAAAATTCGCAGCAAACATTATTCATACGATTTTTTTTGCGAAATTTTATTTGTAGTTAATACCTTCGTGGATAATATGTTTTTGTGAATTTTAAAATTCGAAAAAAAAAATTCTTGCAAAAAAAATTCGCAAAAACGTTTCCCGGGAAAAAAAATTCACAGGAAAGTTTCCTGCAATTTTTTTTGCAAGAAATTCTGCAGGAATATTTTTTACAAAAAAAAAATCAAAGAAATTACTACAAATTCTATAAATAATTCTTCAACTTTCAAATGTTCACAATGAATTCATTCGAAGCATTTGTTTCCACGCCTCGTGATACATAATCTTTTAAACTTAAGATTATAGATTATAAGTTTAACACTCAACCATACAAATTAACTTGTAAGATAAGTGTTGTCCCAACTTATAAATTATTTTATTTTCAATCGATGTGAGACTTGCAATTTTTTTAAAATATTAAATTTATAAATTTAAAATTTTTTTAAAATTTTCCTGCAGATTAAAATAAGTAGGAAAATCCGCAAGAAAAATTACCTGCGAATTTTTTCTACCATTTAGTAAACATTACTTGCGAATTTATTTTTGTAAGAAAATCTGCAAGAAACAAAATAAAATTCTTACAATATTTTTTGCAAATTTTTACCGTGGAATAAATTTCTATGATCATTAAAATTGTAGCAAAATTTGCAAAAATTTCTTATAGATTATTTTTCATAAAAAAATTTGTATGAAATATCCGTAAATTATTTTTCTCAAATAAATTTGTAAATTCTTTTTTGTGAAATTATTATTGCAAGAAAATTCGCAAAATAAATTTCTACGAATATTTTTTTGTAAGAAAATTCGCAGAAAAATAATACTTTTTTAGCAGTATTTTTTCATCACATGTATAGTGATGACTAATTTAACTTAGATTATTGTGATTGTTGTTAGTTCAACTAGTATTGATACTCAAAGAGATTTAACACTATTTTTCACTAAATAAATCATCTCCACAAGTTATAAACATAGAGTGTCTAACCTCTATGCCAACCCAAAGCTTCATCACTTTGAACAAAAGAAAAGCAAGGATTTTTCTCTAGAAATTAAAAGGACAACTTACCTTGCTAAACTGACTTCTATCATTCATTGAATTGATAAGAGTGGGCATGACTGCATGTGCACAGTAACAGAATGCATAAAGGCTCATAGCAGTAGGCAGTCCCTCCCAATTCACTAACTGTCCTCTTTCATGAAACCCCACACCATCAACTTCACCCACCCACGCAACACAACCGATTAAAATAATAGAAACCACTACCCCACCAAAAGAAACGTAGGCCAAAGCTCCCATGCTTCTCAACCACGTTGTTGGCAGTATGATCAAAGCAGCCAGCAGCACAAAACTCTTTCTACCTTCAATTCTAACACCACCAAGTTTCAAGTTCATGTTTGGAAACAACTTCGCCAAATTGTCACCTTCCAATATCAGAAGCTCCACAGCAATTAGAAACAGCTCTGCATATATGAATGCAGCTATCACTGTTCTTCCTTTGTACCCAAAAGCAACCTCGCCTATATCAGGGTATGATTTGATTAGTGGATGCTTAATCATACACCTTTGTAGCAGCAAAGCTGTGTACCAAAATATCATTGTGAAAACAAGCAGCAGAATAAAACTCAACCACCCTCCTTGAGAAACTGCATATGGCATTGAGAGTATCCCAATACCTGATAAACAAAAACCATATAATTAATCTCAGTCACCAGTTTCAAAGAGTATTTTTATCCTACATGTTTTGCAAATTAGAATTACATAGAAGAACTAACATGTTACTAAAACATATTCCCCAAGGCTAGTATAGTGTGTAATATTTTCTTGCACTTTGTATATGTATATATATATATATATATATGACTTGTTAAGACAGAATTTGAGAGAGATATAGAATGAAGGACCTGTGAGGGAGTTGATTCCATTGAAACAAGTTTTGAAGAAGGTGGTGCCCTTTTGGTGTTGCTCCGAGTTTGAAACTTGGAGTTGGCTTTGGCTCTCCATATTCTGTGGTAAAGCAAACTTGGTTGTCCATACGTACATTATATATTTGGTGTTGTTCAAATTAGAGTAACATGATTGATTCTACGCAGGATTCTGAATAAACAGTAACAGTAGTGAATAATATGAGTGAGAGAGTGGCCTAGTTATGTTGACTAGATAACCACTATGCATCTATGTGAATAATAAATGGTGTTAGGCGCTTTTCTATTTAGACGCGGAGAATCACACCATCGAAAAACCCCTTCACCTGTCATGCACCATTTCAAAACGGAAGCAGATTCTCTCCCACCACACACAAATAAAAGTAAGTAAACCCAACGAGATTAAGACACATGGGGCCACACTAACACGCACTCGGTTTTACTGCATAAAGGAAAAACATATTCATGAAGCTAAGTTGCATTGCGATTCACGTTCATGAAGCTAAATTTGAATTGTTTCAACACTTCCACGTTTTACAATAGTACAATATGTGTCTTCCTCAACAAACATCCAACAATAAAATAATTAACAGTTTTTTTAGTTTAGATTTTTTATACCAGAATAAACGAATAACAATAAGATAGATATTTCATGTAACTTACAAATTATAAAACTTATCAGACTGGCTAATTCATTTTTAATATACTCTTATATTGTTTCCATTTTATTTAAGTAAAACAAAGCTCAAATCATTTTACTTTAAAGAATTTGTGCTCGTTATTTGAAATATTAAATTCCGGTATTTTGTTGTTTTTATTAGTTAAAACATAAAGATAATTTAATTTGTTACAAAGGAATTACAACGGTGATGTTATATATACTTTATTTGTAATATTTTAATTAAAGTCAATTAGTTTAATTTAAGGATTGAGATCGAATATTTTCATTTTCATTTTAACATAAAAATCATACTCCCATGATATATACTTCAAGTACAAATATGTTCATACAACAAAATTTAATCATAATAAAATATAATGACTATAATACAATGCAAAAAGATTGATATAAAATAATAAAGCAAACACTCAATCTTCATCCCTGAATTTGGAACACATTACCATATTAGTCCCTAAGACTAAGCAGTTATAAAATATATCTCTTAAAGTGCAAATTGACAATCACATTAAGTTAAAAGTCATAAAATTCTGCAACTAAAATGATAATATATATGTTCAACGATCAGGATATCAATGAGTAATTCAATTTAATAACTTATATGGTATTATAGACGACTTCTCATTTTTAAGGATTAATATGGCATATTGTTTTCCAAATTTAAGGATTAAAGTGGGTATTCACTATATAAACATCTATCCATTTTTAATTAAAAGAGAATTAATGTTTTAAAAATAATTATAAAGTGATAATTTATATCGATTGTGAAATTCTCATATTTATTTAAAAAAATTAAAAAGAAAAAGAAATTAATATTTTTCACAACATTCCTAAAGTATTTAATTAAGTACAAATCAAACGCAAGTACATCATTTATCAAGTAAAATGTTTGTGCTTCCATAATTGAAAACATAAAATTCGTGTCTTCTATTAATTATGCGAGAATTTAATTTTCTTCGAACACTTATACTTTGAATCTTTGTGGCCTTTTACCTGATACGTTCCTTTTTATTTGTCATGATTTTTGTTTTTATTTAGATTTTATTTTCAAATTTCAAAATAACATTAATTACTCTTTTCTAATTATACTCTAACTTTTTATATTTATTAAGAAAGTGGAAATGAAAAAATTTATATACATTAATTATATATAGTATTAAAATACAAAGGATAAAATTGAAAATTTTATAACTATTTTATTGAGATAAAAAAAAAATATTTTTTAATATGTGCATTCAAACCTTAAAAGAGAAATAAAAATAAATAAAAAAACGGAAGTAATAAACATGCTTAAACTGGATTTATTTTCAAGGTAAACGCATATACCAATAAACTGTTTTGTTTTATCCGTTTTAATTTTTATCTATTTGGTCTCAATATAGATTATTTTGTTATATTTTAATCATCATTGCTACTAAAACAAATGAGCAATAACGATCTATCTTCATTTTATTATTATTACTTACTTTTTATTTATTTTTTATTTTTTTGGGTATTTCATTTTGCATACTTTTTTATAAATTTTGTGCATCAAACATATTAAATGTTTATTATATAACTAAAATTTATTAGTTAATTATATATAAAAATAAATAATATATTTGAATATATAAATTATATTATATTTATAATTTATATGTATATATATATTCTTAAACAAATAAAATATATTCTAAATTTATAATAAATAATTTATATTGTGATGGGATTTTAATTACCGATAATTCATTTTAAAATTTTAAAATATATTTTAAAAATATTAAAATTTAATTTGAAAATAAATACGATAAGTATTAATTAAAATAGATAAAAAAAGTTAATAGAATTTTTAAAAATAATTTTGTTCCGGCCAAAGGGTGGACTAGGGTTTTTTCCTAGATCGTGCCTTAGAGCTAGAGCATTCAAAAGTATAATCCGTCTTCTCAACTCTAGGGTTTTGGGTTTTATAGTTTCTTGTTCACGGGCCTTATGGGCCCCGAGAATATAGGGATCTCTTTGGCCGTTCCAATCTGGAAAATACTTGGTGAGTGAAGGTGGGACCTCGCCATTACTGAGTGTCCAATCGGATAATGACCGAGTAAGCCTTTATGGGTGGGAGTCAATCGGTATCTGGCTTTGAGAGGGTGAGTCGGCCAAGGTTACAGTTGGGTGAGTCGGCAAAGATTATAGTCGGGTGAGTCGGCCAAGGTTACAGTCGGGTGAGCCGGTCAAGGTTACAGTCGGGTGATCACAGGAGGGGAGATCAGGTCGTGAATTGGCCTGGGCAGTGCACAGGTTTATAATCGGCCTCACACATGTAAGAGATACCAATCGGCCAACGACCGAGACAGTCCACTTGCCTTCCAGCCTTGAGCCTATAAGGCGAAAAGGCTTAAGGTGTAGTCCTTATGGTCCGAGATACCAATCGGCCTACGATCGAGACGGTCCACTTGCCTTCCAGCCTTGAGCCTATAAGGCGAAAAGGCTTAAGGTGTAGTCTTTGGGCTAAAATGAATCGTCAAAATTCCGGCCAAAATGACCAAGTTATAAACTATCCAGTACTATATATTTTTTCTTTCCTACTAACTATGCAAGTTTTAGTCAAAACATATCATATTTTTGAAAAATGAATGAAAAACTTCTAAGCTAAAGCATCATGAAAATGAAAACAAGAGAAATAGATTCATCTCTTTCGAACTCCGATTCTTAGGAAAGTAAAGTTTTAAGAATAGTTTGGAAAAGTACTAAGGCGCCGACTTTCCGGTGCATAAGGCGAAAAAAAGTAATAAGTTAAAAAAGATTAAATTTTAAGAGTCATTAACTCGTCCAAATCCCGATTGACGTAGCTATAAAAATATACTAAGTTAAAAAGGAATCTATTTTGAGCAGAAACCAAAAGAAGTCGGTCAAATTCCAATCCCAGCAGTGAATGAAGCAATATTTTAAGACTTGAAGTTACGAACGAGGTGTAGTCGGCCGAATTCCTATCTTTAATGATGAGTAAAAATATTTCTAAGTTAAAACGTAAAGCTTTGAACCAACAAGAAGTCGCCTATGTGCCGATTTCACATAATCAGTGAAATATGCTAAGTTAAAAACTCCACAGCCTTAAGCAATATGATCGCCCAAATGCCGATCTCACCTTGGAAGAATAATTAGGTTGAAGATTTATGTTCGGCTAGAGTTGTCGGCTGAATGCCGATTCAAATAAATGCCAGTTTAATGAATTTAAAACGTTTGACGCAGAGATCGGCTAAATGTCGATCTCGACTCTAACGCTGAATGTTCGAAAACTTCATCGTCAAAAATCCGATCCAGTAATTGAAGTGATGTGAAAGGGAAAATATTATCCTTTTTCCAATTAAATTGGGTTCGGTCTTCGAGTTATTTATACTCGCCCAGTCGGATTTTTGCCGACAATCACGAGTTTGCCTTCGAGTTATTTATACTCGCCCAGTCGGACTTTTGCCGACAATCACGAGTTTGTCTTCGAGTTATTTATACTCGCCCAGCTGGACTTTTGCCGAAAATCACGAGTTTGTTCTTCGAGTTATTTATACTCGCCTAATCAAATATTTACCGACAATCACGAGTTTGGTCTTCGAGTTATTTATACTCGCCCAGCCGGACTTTTGCCGACAATCACGAGTTTGTTCTTCGAGTTAGTTATACTCGCCCAGTCAGATTTTTATCGACAATCACGAGTTTGGTCTTCGAGTTATTTATACTCGCCCAGCCGGACTTTTGCCGACAATCACGAGTTTGTTCTTCGAGTTAGTTATACTCGCCCAGTCAGATTTTTATCGACAATCACGAGTTTGGTCTTCGAGTTATTTATACTCGCCCAGCCGGACTTTTGCCGACAATCACGAGTTTGTTCTTCGAGTTAGTTATACTCGCCCAGTCAGATTTTTATCGACAATCACGAGTTTGGTCTTCGAGTTATTTATACTCGCCCAGCCGGACTTTTGCCGACAATCACGAGTTTGTTCTTCGAGTTAGTTATACTCGCCCAGTCAGATTTTTATCGACAATCACGAGTTTGGTCTTCGAGTTATTTATATTCTCCCAGTCGGATTTTTCCCGACAATCACGAGTTTTTCTGCCTTTAAATAACACACCTGTCGATCATGGAAAGATAAAAGAGATGGTATTTAATAAAATTGGAATTATTGGTTAGTGGTGCCTCGTTAAAAACCTTCTTAGAAAAAAACCTTTTCACATTTTTATATGGAATAAAAATCTCTTGGGACGACCCCAGCTTCTCGGCTTTCAGCTGCCCTTTTGTTGATTTGTCCCTCCTCCGTCTTGATGTGACTCAGGGTGAAAGCTCTCACCTCCGACATCGTTTGACAATTCGCTTTCTCCAGCGCGATGTCGAAAGCTCCAGACCTTAAGCTCTTCTGGAACGCTGACTGCCATCCTTTCATCCAACGACGTTATCCTCAAGGCGACCTCATTGAACCTTTGCTGAAAGTCCTTTAACGACTCCTCTTGCTGCTGTTTGAGATTGAACAAGTCCGACGTGATCGGTGGTTTCTTCCTGTTAGCGGTGAACTGTGCCATGAAGAGCTGACTAAAGACATCAAAGTCGGTGATTG